TGTATAACGCTGTGAGCTTGTCAAATATATGCTTGATGTACAGAAACACGTTCCTTCTTCAGCACAATGTAAGGCTTAAAAGCTGCAGGTATCAAAAACTACTCCGACAGTTCCAGGTTTTTGTATAAAGCTATGTCAAATATTCAAATAGATTCTAAGCATAAATAAACATTTTTTTTTTTTGCACATTGTAAGGCTAAAAAGCAGCAGATTTTGTTAGGATAAAAAACTGCAGGTATAGATTCAGTTATTTGGATAAAGCTATGTCTTAAGTATGCCTAATTTAGATAAACCCATTCCTTTTTCAGCACATTGTAAGGCTAAAAAGTTGCAGGTGTCAAAAGCTCTGCCAGAATCAGGTTATTTAAATAAAACTTTGAAGAAATACGTTATTAACAGTTCTATCACAGCTTTTCATAATTTTATCTACTTTTCATTTGTTGTCTATTCAATCTTTCCCAAACATTCACATTTCAATTAAATCATGAGTATATCTTCCCAAACCATCGGAGTTTTCATTTAGCGCATACTCAACACCCTGTGCCGAACACGTCGTTGAAGCCTTGCTGGCCCTTTGACTAGCTATCGAGCTAACTTTTCTGTTATAATCGTCCTCAGCGGAATATAGACAGGTTTCTATGAACTTGGTGAGTGTTGGGGATTTGAGCTGTTTGACAATTGGCATTGCCTCCTCCAAAGACTCCTTGGTGCGCTCCACCTTATGCTGCAAAGTGTTTGCCTTGATTATTTGTATTATCCCGAGAAACTTCCATATAATGCTGTTGCAGTTCTGACTTTCTAAATGGGTTGCAAATCGAATTATTACTGTTTAGATATATGTGCCATATTTAATCGCACCTTTCATAGCTCTGCGCGCATTAAAACAGCATTCATCGTAATGCAGCTGGGCCAAATGGACGGCGGCTATTTGATGGAGTAGATAACATTTCTCAATTGAGAACTTTGCAAATCTCATGCGCTTCTCCAGGCGGGAAATTATTCTCCTAAATTAAGCATAGATAGTGTTTTTTTTTCAATAAATCAATATCTTTTGTTATTTACCGGCATTTCCTTCCTTCGGTATCGTCGTCGCCTTCTTGGTAAGTTGAACGATCGCCGAATACAAAGGGTACAATATCTTTTATCTTATCCACTGGCAACAGCAACAGCTGAAACATGGCCCTTTGTGTCATCCTAAAGCGCTTTGGGATAAAATACTGTTCGCATAAAGCCAGTGCCAAGGTATTGTACACCTCATTGTGAAACTGAAATTTCCAGCACATGACACGATTCGTTTTGGTCACATAATAATCTCCCATTACTTTCTCGACATACGCGGAGAGGCTCTATAAGGATATCCATATGAAAGATGGAAAATGTTAATTAAAGAGTATTGTAAGCGCTAGCAGATCTCAAAAGACTAATTTCATATCAAATTAAATAGAATCGATATCGAAATACAATGCGCTCAGACAAAAGAGTTATCGATTTTGGCATTTTAAGCATAACTCGCGGAAGTGTTAGATGCACAAAATTTGGTGTGTAAGTTTCAGTATGGCATATACAGATTGGGAATATTTCAGTTTTTGGATACCCCACTTAGTTACCCTTAAAAACAACCATTTTGGAGGGCTTATTTCTTTTGAAATATCCACTATCCAATTCCACCTCGCACTTTATATATCATACATATTCCATATGTCTGCAAGGGTATTTAATCTTTGGCACTCCAATTATATATTTTGACATACCTTGACATCCTTGGCCTTTCGCAGCTTTCGTATATGTCTCAGATCTGCAATCATATTGCGATGTGTCTGGTATTGTATGCGGAATAGATATGCTTCTCGATTTTTCTCCAGCATTACCTTGTTGGGATACTTCAGGTAGCTAACATAGTATTGGGGACTGCGACATTGCAACATTTTCTGTACGGAAATAGTTGGCGGTTAATATGGTATTATATAGTAGCTCTTTAACTGATACTGACAATAAACTGTCTTATAATCTCGTACTGCTTAAAAGCGAGCGTTTGCAAGAAGCCTTTTGAACGCTTGCACTGATCCAGCAGCAAACTGGGATTCTTGCGCAAGTTCTTCATGAATAGCACATCATACCACGAGTCATTCAGATAGTTTTGGTGTATAACATTAAAGGCACGAGCTCTGCGAGCTATTTCCAGTGGTGACAGGACCTCTTCCTAATGCGAGAGTTTTTTTTTTAATTTTGCCTATGTGGGAAAACAAAACTTCCCAATACGTACCACCGTTTCGGGTATGCTTAGCACATCGCATTTCTCCTGATCTCTCAATATTTTCCACAATGGACGCGTGTCTATAAAGGCTTTAGCTTTGTTGATCTCGCTGACGCGCTGTATTAGTTTGAGATTTTTTAAAAAGAACAGCGACATCGATTTGCCAGTAACATCTTTGATGACATCATTCACCTATGTGGGTTAGTATATATATATATATACATCTATGCATATTCCTGCAATTATCACAACTTACCACCATGAGTCGCTTGGAAAAGTTTCTTGATTTGACACCAACAAAAATTCGAATATTGTCGTGCAGTTCACAGGCGCTGGTCTCGAACTGGTTCAGCTCAAAGAGCGCATCGCATATTTGCAAATTGATGGGACAATTCGGACCGCGCTGCGCAGAGCCAATCACTATGCAATCCAAAAATGACGTACTCTGTAGATATTCAATTTTCTAACTCACCTGCAGCAGCTCGGGCATCGTTCAGTGCCTGTTCGATGCGTGCCGCCTTGCGCTGCACCTGACTGCGTCGATAGAGTGTTAGATAATCGGATCTATCAATGTCCAGTGCCTTGGTATAATAGTATAATGCGAAGTTCTCCCGACGTCGATTGAAATAGTATGTGCCCCAGTCTCTATAGATATCATGTTCTATTTCCGGGCTCCAGTCGAATTTATTCCAAATAGCGACTGCGCCCTCCAGAGTCGCGGGCGGCACATAACCCACAATTGAAGTCATATTTCCAAGCGATCAATCTTGGATTGTTATGATACCTTAAAAAAGTATAAAGGTGCTAAATTGTGTAAAAAATGTAATATTTTGTGTTTTGGTGAACTGTTTCCCTCTGTTTGTGTAATGCTATTGAATTGTTTAACATAAAGCCTGTATTAGGAGAGATATATACAAGATCAAGGAGTTCTAGATTGGAAATATTTTTTGTATAATTCTCTCGGCTGAGCACTGAAACCATAAGAAATTCGCATCTTAAAAAAGCCATCAAGAGTTGATAGCTATAAACTTTATTAGACTTTTTAAAAATATCAATATTTATTTTTTCTTATCCGGAGAAGTAAATATATATAAAACATTTTTAAAGCAGTCATAAATTGTTTTTAATTAGCTAAGAAAAGTTCTTGGTTTAAAGGTAATCGAAACAAATTCAGCAATCTATAAGAACTGAACTACATATCTATTCATTCAAAAAATTGCATATCTGGTCGATTATTCTTATTATGTATACGATATAGATAAATTACGCAATAGCCCAGTATTAATTATATTTTGCTCATAAAAGCTATTTAAATTTTTATTTTTTATTTTTTAGATTTCTTTCTAGCTATTAAGATATATATATACAGTTAAGATCACTTCCGAGTTCCATAATCTTCAAAAAACAAAAAAATTCGATATTTGCCTATATAAACCAGGGCACAGCAGAGACTCGAATCATTCTGTTTTAACATATACACAGTCTAACAATAAGATCTTTGCCAAGTTTTCTAGCTTGTTATAAAACATATATTTATAAATGTTTTACTTCAGTTGTGCAGCATTCCCAAATGGGAATCACATTGTGTAAATGTAATAATATAAGTAAAATGTATGACTTCATATATAAATATCCTAAATAGTGCAAACATATAAATTAGTTTGACGCTGTGGTTGAGATCTTGCTCGGGCGCTGAGATGACACTGTGCTTGCCTTCTTTGCAGTATCCTCCAAATTGCAGGCTATGCAGACCTCTAAGAAATTCATCAGCGGTGGATTCTTCAGCGCATCGACTACAGGTGCAGCCTTCCTTCTCCAGTTTTTCTCTAATTTTTTCCACTTTCTGCTGCAGGCAATTCGCCTTCACCATTTGTATAATGCTGAGGAAATTTCATATCAAGCTGTTGCAGTTTTGAGATTCTAAGTATAATTAGGATAAATATATAAATAATAATTTTAATAGAGTTGCATAGCTTCGGTGTTTATAGTCGACCTGTGTCAGCCATATCGTCCCTGGGACAAATGAATGCTCGCAATCCGATGGAGTAGATAACACTTCTCAATCGAATATTTTGCAAATAGCATGCGCTTTTCCAGGCGCGTAATCAGCTTCCTGTTAAACAATAATTAATTAACTTTAAGTATATCTGAAGCTTATTTTAACCCTTACCTTGTGGTAAGAGCTGCGGGATCATTGAAACTACCATCTTGATAGGTCGAACGATCACCAAAAACAAATGGTACAATATCTTTGGTCTTATCCTGCGGCAAAAGCAGCAGTCGATACATTGATGTGGCATTATATCAAAAATTTCTTGGCACACGATACTGTTCACATAATGCCAGAGCTAAGGTATTGTATACCTCAGATATGAACTCAACTTTCCAGCACATGATACGAGTCGTTTTTTTATCATAATAATCGCCCATTATTTTCGCAACATATTTTGAGAGACGCTAAAAGACGCAAATAATTAAGCATCAAAAACAAATAGAATTGTTTTTTAATACCTTAACAGTCTTTTCCTTTCGCAGCTTTCGAATTTGTTTTAGATCTGCGATCATGTTGCGATGTGTCTGGTATTGTATGCGGTATAGATACGCTTCCTTACTTCTTTCCAACATTTTCTTGTCTGGAAACTTTACGTAACTCACGTAGTAAAGCGGACTCCGAGAATGAATCATTCGCTATCAACAAATGGGTTTTATAGTTAAGTTTTTCAGGAACTTGTGATTGTTACTCACAATAAACTGTCTGACAACATCATATTGCTCAACGGACAGTATTTGAAGCCATCTCTTGGAACGCTTGCATTGATCTAGCAGCAAACTGGGATTCTTACGTAACTCTTTCATAAAAAGAACATCAACCCAGGAGTCATTTAAATAGGTCTGATGAATTACATTAAATGCGCGTCTTCTGCGCGCTTTTTCCAGTGGTGACAAAAGCACTTCCTAATGGCAGTAGTTGTAGTTCCAGTTGGGGATCAATATTAAAGTTATTTACCTCAATTTCTGGAATGCTAAGTATACCGCAATATCTTCCACAAGGGACGGGTATCTTTAATAAGAGAAGCTTTGTAAACATCACTCGCCTGTTGAACCAGCTTATAGTTTTTCAAGAAGAACAGAGGCATGGCGCGGCCAGTGACAACTTTAATAATAGCTTCAATCTAAGAAAAAATATTGAAAACCTTCTTGTGTCTTCCATTATATATTGTCATACCACCAAGAGACGCTTCTGGAAGAGACTCGACTTAGCGCCAACAAACTGTCGAACATTGTCATGCAACTCCAAATCGCTGAGCTCGAAATTGTTTAGATCAGTTAGAGCATCGCATATTTGAAGCCTAATGGGCGCATTTGCTCCCATTTTTGCGTTTGCCATACCTAGAAATGTGCAGACATACATAAAGTTGGGGCCATGATAAATATGACGACCTACTTGAAGCCAGTCTAGCATCGATCAATGCTCCATTAATCTGTGCTGCCTGACGCTTGGCCTGACTACGTCGAAAGAGCGTCATATAATCCTCGTCTACAAGTTCCAATGCCTTGCTATAATAAAACAGTGCCTTATTCTCTCTGTGCAGATTTAAGTAGTATGTGCCCCAGTCTTTGAATATATCGTATTGTATATTTGGATTCCAGTCAAATTTCATCCACACGGGTACGGCTTCTGCAATGCCAGATGCCTGAGGTACGGGGTTCATACTTATTGAAGTCATTGTATTTGTGTTCTTTCCGTATATATATTTGTTTTAAATATTTTATGGATTTTTTTAAGACTATTATTTGTGTTCTTTTCGTATATATATTTGTTTTAAATATTTTATGGATTTTTTTAAGACTTTTATTTGTGTTCTTTCCGTATATATATTTGATTTAAATATTTTATGGATTTATTTAAGACTTATTTGTGTTCTTTCCGTATATATATTTGTTTTAAATATTTTATGGATTTTTTTAAGACTTTTATTTGTGTTCTTTCCGTATATATATTTGATTTAAATATTTTATGGATTTTTTTAAGACTTTTATGATTTTGAAATTTTTATACAGGATCTGCTCTCAACGATTTTTAATGCTATTGATTTTTTCCATCATTTGTTTGCTATATATAACTTACGAAATATATTACAAATCTTTCTAGATAAAAAAATTCTATTATTTTTATACCCTGAACCCATTAAAAATGGGTAAAAAGGGTATAATGTATTTGTGCAAATGTATGTAACAGGCATAAGGAAGCATCTCCGACCCCATAAAGTATATATATTCTTGATCAGCATCAACAGTCCAGTCGATTTAGCCATGTCCGTCTGTCCGTCCGTCTGTCCGTATGTATGAACGCAAGGATCTCAGAACCTATAAAAGCTAGAGACTTTTAGCTGTAAGTCCTCCTAGTACCCGCGCAGATCGAGTTTGTTTCCGATATTCGATAACTTGCCCCGTTTCCAAGTAATCGATAAAAACCGATATCGAAATCCTGTTTGTTGAGCAATTTCGGCAAATAATATGAGCTAGAGTCACCAAACTTGATATATATATAAATATCTAGTATCTTTCATTTTATACCTATCGCCACCTCCCCGCTACCACCACAAAGTATAAATCAAGTTAATTATTCTACTTGTATTGCCCATCAATTAAAGCCACGTAGCGCGAGCTGCATTTGGTGTTGGAAGAAGAGGGTTCACGGTATCCAATAGTCGGGAGCTCCCGACTAGAACCTCTTACTTGTTTTAAAATTAATTTGTTAAAACTGCGACAATCATTTTTTCGAGAGTTCTAAGCATCGCACAATTGGCTTGTCACACAGGCTAAAGATAAGCATCGATTTTGGGAATTGGGCACAGCTCGAAGATGTTAAGAGCTGGATACCGGAGACTTAATATGTAAGCCGTCCCGCATTTAGCATACGGAGATCTACAATATTTAATTTGTTGGGTGTATATGTATGAAAAATTATGGGATACCCATTACGGTATTTGGTATATACATACTTTGATTTGTCATTTCTTAGACCTAAAAATTTCAAAAAGATCGGACTATAAATACCAGTTACTTACCAATGCATTTCTTATAGTGTGGGACTAAGGGAAGAAGCGCGGTCGTTACTTAAAGAGCTTAGTAAATGGACTGCGATCGTGTGTATTTGTGTATTTAAATATAGAAGAAAGCCAGAATATTTGCATCGGCATCTTGGCGTATCTCCTAGCCGAGAACCCCGACTAAAGAACTCGTACTTGTTTCATTGCAATATGCTGTGTAAAATATTGAGTCGTACATAAGCATGTACATTATTTATTTTATATATAATATAATATAATATCATATAAATATATATAAAATATGGTTTATCATTTTCCAGTCAGCCTTGACCAGAAAAATTGGATGCCTTGCTGGCTCGCTGACTTGCCATCGAGAAGGCCCTCTTGCTGACTTGGTCCTCAATATAGTAGAAACAGACATACACAAACTTAACTAGCTCCGGCGACTTTAGCTGCTTGGCAATTGGCAATGCCTCATCGGTAGCCTCTTTAATCTTTTCAACCTTGCGCTGCAGCGCATTCGCCATGATTACTTGCAAAATACTCAGGAACTTCCAGATAAGGCTGTTGCAGTTTTGACTTTCTAAAAGCCAAGTTGAAAATTTGTATTAGACAAAAATCATTTAGATCATTATAATTATCGCACCTTTGATAGCTCTGCGCGCATTCAAACAGCATTCGTCGTAATGCAACTGGCGCAAATGAACGCTGGCTATGCGATGGTATAGATAACATTTTTCAATCGAATATTTTGCAAATCGAATGCGTCTCTCGAGGCGAATAATTAGCTTCCTATATGGAAAGTGCATAATTTAGTTTTTAATTTGTCAATTAAAGGTTAAATTTATTACAATTACCTCTCTCTCACCGCTACGGGATCCACAAGCTCACCATCTTGATATGTCGAACGATCCCCAAATACAAATGACACGTTCTCTTTGAATTGATCCACGGGCAGCAGTAACACTTCCAAAAATGAATGCTTATCGGCCCTGAAATACTTGGGCAAAAAATATTGCTCGGCAAGTGTCAGAGCCATGGTGTTATAGACCTCATTGAAGAACTCAAATTTCCAGCACATGACTCGATTTGTTTTTTTCACATAATAATCACCCATTATTTTCTCAACGTATTCCGCGAGATCCTAACAAAATATTCAAGTAGAGTTGTAGAGAAAATAAAATATAGTTTTTTTAATACCTTGACATTCTTTTCCTTTCGCAGCTTCCGAATCTGTTTTAGATCAGCAATCATATTGCGATGTGTCTGGTATTGTATGCGGTATAGATACGCTTCCTTATTCCTTTCCAACATTTTCTTATTTGAGTACTTCATGAAGCTGACCAGGTAAAGCGGAGAGCGGCAATGAATCATTGTCTATCAATAAATGCGTTTAATATTAGCTCATTTTATGTTGGATTATCGACTTGATACTAACTATAAAACGCCGAACAATATCATATTGCCTATTACACAGTGTGGCCAGAAATTGTCTGGAATTCTTGCACTGATCAAGCAGCAAATTGGGATTCTTGCGCAAGTTCTTCATGAATAGCACATCATGCCACGAGTCATTCAGATAGTTTTGGTGTATAACATTAAAGGCGCGCTTTCTGCGTGCTGTTTCCAGTGGCGACAAAATCTCTTCCTGTTCAGATATAGTATTTAGAGAAAATTGAATACACAATCCTAATCAAAACTCACTTCTTCTTCAGGAATGCTAAGTATATCGCATTTCTCGAGCTCCTTCAATATCTTCCACAAAGGACGATCATCTATCATTTCTTTTTCTTTGATCATGGCACTGACGCGCTCCACCAGCTTATAGTTTTTCAGATAGAATAAAGACAGCGCCTTGTCAGTAACATCTTTCATGACCCCTTCAACCTGGAACAAAGCGCATTGTCAAAAATAGTTCTATAACTTTTCTATTAATCTAGAACTTACCACTACGCTACGCTTTTCGAAAGTTTGCGCCTTAATACCTACAAAACGTCTTATATTATTGTGCAGCTCAACAAAACATTCCTCGAAATGGTTAAGCTCATATTTCGCATCGCATATTTGTAGATTAATGGGGCAATTGGCTCCATATTTCTGCATAGCTATATCTATTGGAACATGGGCTAGATTAAGGTTCTCTAAACAATATATTTGTTTATAGATTTACCAGCCGCTTTCATGGCATCCGCTAGTGCTTCCTCGATCTGCGCTGCCCTGCCCCGGCTCAAACTGCGTTTATAAAGTGTGGACCAGTCACGTTCATCCAGGTTTAATGCCTGTGTTAAGTAGTACAAGGCAAAAGTTTCGCGGCGCCGCTTGGCGTAGTATGTTCCCCAGTCTCTATAGATATCATGCTGCACTTTTGAATTCCAGTCAAATTTCATCCAGGCTGGCAAAGCCTCGCCAGTATCCATTTTGGGCACATAGCCCACAATTGATGTCATTTTTAATGTTTTAAGTAAATATCGTCTATTAAACTTTAAAAAGTAAATTGGTTTTTACTTGGCATTGTTTTAGTTGCTATATTTTAAAATGTAGAGCTTGCAAATTTTTGATAAAATTAAATGACATGTAAATAGGGTGATTTTCCATCCCTTATAGTCCTTGCACATTTGTTAAGTCTTTACTTACGTTGCATAAAATACACTTGATGTAATTTCCACTTTAAATTTATATAAAAGTATGAAAAAAATATAATAAAATTCAAAATTATTTACTAAATTAAGAACAAATTCAACACACTGTTGCCATTCAGCAACTGAACAATAATAAAAATCAACAATTGTGAGGCAAATGACGTTTTTGACGAGGTCAAAATGTACAACAAATTTTTCAAATATATCACATTTTCCAGATAACTTATTTACTTAAATATTCTACATATTTTTTAATAATTTCAAGAACTGGGAATATAATTATCTTATTATATATAAAAATTGGGTCCCTAAAGAATTTAAAACAGGGACAGGTTGGCGGGCTTAGGCTTTCTTCTTGAGCTCTTAAAAAAGCGGTCTTAATTTAAGCTCTTTCTTTCATAACTTCAGTCAAACGATTTTTGATGGGCTCTTTCTGCTTGCATGCCATCTAATTGGAAAATTTAAATATTCCAGCAATATTTATTTTTCATATAACCAATGTTGGATTAACGATAATCATATATTTGTTATCGAAGCAGCGCAATTCGTTATACAAACCAAGGACTGCGTGTTGTGGGACAGGCGTGCAGGTTTCCGTTTCCGTTTCAACTTTGAATTCTGTCACACTTCACATAAGCACCTCTTGCAACCGACCAGTTGTAAGCCACGCAAGGCTAGAAAACATATTATTATTTAAAAAAAAGAAGCAAATAATAATATTCAACCGCATGTCATGTGACAGAAGTGGCACACACACACACACACATACACACACACGAGCCACCGCACCACCGATTGGCTTCATAATAATATTTGTGCATGCCCAGTGGCTCAGCCAAGTGTAAGAAATCACTTAAAACACACCCAGCTCTAGATTTCAGTTGGGGGATTATGTAACTCCCTCCAAGCACAGTGAAATTAAAGCCACAAGAGCGACCAGAAAAGGCCAATGATAAGTGTTAAGAGTCGTAGGCGTCGTCATATAAGCATGGTAGGGGCAACTCAACGCGCACATAAATCTAATGTATAATAAATTTAAATAGCGAATTCATGCAAAATGGCAACTCGAGTGTGACCAGACCCACCTAAGCCTCTCCGCGCTGTTAC